TATTTATATATCTATATATGTAATTACATATATTTCTTTATTCTGTTAAATGAATTAATTTTACAATATAAAAAGAAAAAAGATGTCATATCTCTGTCGTTTTAGTTCAATTTGATATATTTTATTAACTTTCGGGTAAGTATATAATTTTAGAATATCGAGGTAAGTGTATAATAGAACATAGTTGAGGGGATTTGTGTGATTTTCCCTCTCATAAAGTTTAGCTTACTTATCTTCTGGTTTGAATAAGATAGGAAGAACGGATACCACAAATCCTTTTAACTTCTTCCTTTAGTTGAAGTTAGCAATGTGCCAAAAGTACGTACCAGTTGGTTTGTGGATGACGCAAGACCAGTTCCATCAGAACCATAGATCATCAGGCCTTTCGACATGTTATTGACATGCTGCAAGTTGCCTGATATAGCAACCCCATCAGCTGGAGTATGTGTTGAAGGAGTTGATGGTTGAGAGTTAGGGGAAGGACCAACTGTGTTCGCGGTCCCAGTACTATTAGCAGGTCCAGAAGACGTAGGCCCCTTCCTTTTTCGGTTAGTCTATCACATGATACTGAGAAGCATCAGTTTACAAAAAATGGCTGGAAAATGTTACAAAGTTATAATGTTAATAGCTAACTGGAGCTTCTTAGACATGAAAAGCTACAATCAAAGCTCAAACAACTGATTCAGAAACCAATCTTTAGTCTAATGGGAACAGCAAACGAACAACTTTGTTACATGTGCTGAAAGTAAAGAAAACCTGTTGCATTTGCTGTGACTGCAAAGGATCTTGTTGTTGAGAAGAAGACTGTTGTACTGGTGGCATGTTGATCTGCTTAAACCAAAAACATAGTTAAAAAATAATAATAAATTGATTGCATTTATGGTTAGCATTTTTGTAATTACAAGACACAGACGAATAGATTGAACTTCTTGTATAAACGGACACATGAATGCAAGCATGCAAGTACACCCCTGCAAACAATAGATGTAAGACCTAGATTATTTATCCTATTAGGGCTCACAGAAACTGTAGCTTCACTAGAAAGGGTCTTCCTTGAACCTTTCTACTTGCTAATACACTTGTCAGGAAGTATATATGTGTAGTTTACTACATAAGGTTAGATGTAATTAATTTAAGTATTTCGTTTCCTATACTTAAAGCTGTGCATTATAAGACTCAATCATTCAATAATAAAATGTAATATTCTATTCTTCCACATTGTATCAGAATTATAGGAAAAATATCATAATTTTTTTTACAAATCCTAATCAGTATTCATCGCCGAAACAAAGCACAAAATTTTAAACACGGCTGGCCTTTGTAGCCAGCCACCCATCACTAAGAACCGGCATTCATAGCTGGAGGAAACTAGCTGGTGCACAGCCCACTGCTGCTGACCAGCAGCCAACCCACAGCTGCTGCCTAGCTGCACAACATGATTTTGGCCACACCAGAAGCCCACCAGCTGCCAGCCAAGCTGCACCAGAGGTTCAGACAGCCCAACAGCCCCTGCACACACCTGCTTCTTGACAACTAGGAACTGTCTTATTCAGGCACAGAGATTAAATTATTCAAATAAAATAAAGTCCCATTTGACAGGTGGCAGAAAAAGAAACTAAAACTTTTAACGTGCAGAAACATAGAACAGAACAGAAAATAATGACACAACATACTGAAAAATGGAAGAATAACTCAACTTATCAAACTACTTAGGCTCTATGTTTTTTTCTTCTTTCACTGATACACACTATCAAAAGGAAAAATTTCTCCAATGCTCATAACAAAGAAGTTATACTTTTTCCACGTGGGTTGGAATGAATACTTCACACAAGTCGCTAATCACCACATGACAGGAATATATGCACAGTAGCAGAATGAGAAACTCAAAAGAAGACAGAAAACTTAAGTACTAGCAGGATCCTTTACATGCATTCTGATGCTATTATAAGATCTTGTGAGGCTACAGTGCTAAATTTTACCTTCGATGAAGTGGACTGCATTGGAGAACCTATAGATCCATCATTTGCAGTGGGTTGGCCATCTTTTGCATTTAAAGGGCCTCTAGGTAATGCTGAAAACCTTCGAGGATCTACATCTCCATATACTGGTGAATTACCAATGTTTCCTTGTGCCTGGACCTGCGCCAAGACCTGTTGTTGTTGCTGCGGCAAAAGCTGAAATTGATTTGCACTCTGTAAGAAAGGTTTCTGAACTTGTGCACCTAAACCCGGTCGAATTTGATCAATGCCCTGAATAATTTCAAAAGAGCATCTGTTAGTAACAAGCAGCCAGATAGAATAAACAACTGAAGGAGAAATGGCACTGATGCACTTACAGTTAATGGCCACCCCTTCAATGGAAGACCTCCAACTCCAGGATTCAATCCTGGGGAAAAGAAAAGGCATTAATCATAATACAGTTTTAACCATGACTTAGTTCAACAATAAAAGAGACAGCAGTGATTCGGTTTGGTGCCATTTTGAATTTAGGAAAAATTTTCCAAATATGCTCGACTAAAATGATCAAATTTGTGATTAACTATTCCAGCCTCCTTGTTGAAGTGCTCTAATTCAACCCTCAGCTACTAGCTAACTTTAATTTTAAAACTAAAATTTTTTTAGGGGGAAAAAAAAAAAAACCTTGTCTGATGACTTTTGTCACCAGTTGGTGATTCAGGAAACTACTATTCATTGCATACTCTTAAATTTCAGTCAGTAACTATTTATTCTGCTCTTTACTTGAATAGAAAACCACTCATGCTTGCAATGATAACACATCCTTCTAGGATATAACTTGATATCATTGTTATATATAATAAATCATAATGAAAATAATCAATCTCTTCTGGCATCCCTCCACCATAAAAATTAATCAAGGTTTATAAAATAAGAAGAAATAATCTTGTTTCTGATCAACGAGATGGGATATTCACTAACACTTGATGAAAGCCAAGAGGAAGTTAGGAACAGCACATAGCGTCAGGACCTCATATATAACTTCCCCAACGTGTTTCAAAGCAGGGAAAAGTGAGAAAAGTCATGGTCTCATATGTAATCCCGGAAGTAATTTGTTAAGCTCCATTTGATGTATATATATATATGTGTTTTATAGAAAAATGACTTATATTTTGATCTCATTAATTTAGTTAGATGTCACTATAATCATAACCAAACAAAAAACCGATATTTTTATCCTTTTTTGAATTATACCAATTTGCTTAATCACATTCATAAATAACTGACTGTTTTGGGTTTGGCAATTTACTTCAGAATCCACATCGCTGATGGGAGATTAATTTGGCTTCTTATAAATCCATAGTGAAAAAAAATCTACCCAAATCACTAATGTAATACCTTATTAGAAACTCATGTTTTGCCCTTTTTTATATTCACTTTATTTCCTATTAAGACTAGGTATCCTTTCAGAAAAGACTTGTTACCTGCATTTCCCATTCCAGGTTTTGATTGCATGATTCCCTGGCTGTACATTGAAGAAGGATCCATAGGCAATGACCTCTGGGAGGCACTCAGGTTAACTTCACTTTTGATGTCCTGGAAAAAATAATTTTTAAAAAAACTGTTATAAACAGATAGGCATTAGATATAGAGCATTAGAGGAAAAAGCAGCGGCGGACACAGCAACATGTTTTACAAGTAATTACAGTTGTTTGTTGAGTTTGTGCCTGAATTTGCTGTAGTGCTGCAGATACACTTCCGTGATTTCCTTGGACCAACTGACTGTTTTAGAGAGAGAGAGAGAGAGAGGAGTTAACAATGCCCAAAGAAGGCAGAAAACTGCAAGCACGAGAAAATATTAGATGTGAACGCACCTAGGATGACTTGCGGCTGGTTTTAAAAGGGCCATCCTAGCATCAAGAAGGGGTTGGGATGTCTCTGAATTCATTGTGTTTGGCTGCTTCATACGTTCTTCGTACATTTTTGCTGCCAGTGCACTGGCATTAGATTGTCCAAGCATTCCTTCAGAAGTTATAGCACTTACAGGACCACTAAGTGAAGGATGATTCGGATCTCTACGTTGAAATTGAGCTTGACGCATTAAATGAAATTGCTGCATCTGCATTTGTTCTTTTGCTTTAATTTGTTGTGCCTACATATCAAACCGTTGGCCAAGGATTGGGCAAGGAAGAGGCCACATTGAGTTGCAGAACCGGCTAGTAGTTATAAGAGACCTCATTAAAAATGAATGAACCCACCTCAATATATGCTGCTGCAGCCTCTGAATGTTTCTCATTTGTCCTGGCAATGAAGATGTCCCAGAAAACAGACCACCATTCGAAAAGAAACCCACCAGGGGCATCAATTGCTGCATATAGAAAGCTAGTAGTTACAGATATTGATTATCCAAAGACCTTTATCCAAATATGGTCCAACCTAAACAGTCATTACATCAATGTAACCAATTCGAGTAACTGAATCAGAAAAGTCAAGATTCAAATTGATTTATACGGATAAAGATCAAAAAAGTTATGAATTAAATTAAGATATCACAATCTACTTAAACATTAATGGCACATACTATATTGCATGCTGATATTTCATTCAAACACAGAGTCAGCTTCATCCGTTCATTCGTTTCAAAGTAACTTTTCTTCATTGAATTTGTTCATACTCCTACATAGTTTTGATCATAAACCACCCCAATTTAATAATCACTGGCAGAGCAAAATAGTGTTTCAGAATATATTACCTACTGGATCCGCCGAGACTTTCCCTTCAGTCATAAACGACTTCGCAGTGGCAAGCAGTTTCTTTTTCATCAGATAATCATAAATGTAGACATCAAGCCTAGCAACGAAGCAACAGACACAAGACAGAGGGTGTAAGCAACTTACGATAGATGAGAGAGAAAGAGAAAGAGAACAGTTAGCAACATTAGATTTTACATCTTATCTGCTTCCCAATTGCTCTGCGCCATCGCCTTAGCCGAATAAGCAAACCGACTCTTCAAAACTAAAGAAGAAAATAAAAGAAGCACAATTCAATTACAGAATAGAAAATATACGAACAATAAATAGATAATGTAAACACAAAAACAGTTCCATCGACACAGTGCGCAAATGCAATTGAATTGAAACTACATTGATAACAACTGACCTGAAAAAGCTAACAATTATGGTGGATCAAATACCACATTACCAATATCAGGATCGCTGCAACAGAGATCTTCACTGATCAACCATTGTTTTATATGTTCAATTTAATCACTGCCTTTCAGTAATCTTAAAAACTTATTCAACAATCAAATTACAATCGAAAGAGAACCAAACAGAAGTGTAGCACGTTCTCTTACCTGTTAATTACTAGAAGATGGATAATTCAAAAAGCACCGAAAAGGTATTTAGGGTTTGTGATTCGGGAGTTGAAGAGTTGTTTTAAGCTTGGAAGTTTGGAACAGCTCAAACACGGAGAGAAGAGAAGTTTGAATAAGCTGCGAAGCTGAGGTGCGGGTGGAGGTTTTGATCCAGACCTCAGGCCCAGACTCCGAAGCTGCTGTTAACGAATTAGCCGAGAGGAACAGGCCGTGAAGCCCATTTGAAAATTTCATTCTGGTGAGTCAAATATACAGTTCGACGGTCAATGATAGGGGTAGGACAGTAATTTCATTCTGCCCCAACCAAACTGGGGGCAGAATTTACGGTGACGACGTGATCACCGTCCGATCTAATCTCCAGTTTAAATAGGAAAGGATATTTTGATAAGGACGGAAGCCACACTTCCCTTGCTTTATCATCCCTAATTACATAATATCAGTGTTATATAAATTTTTTTAAAAAATAGTAATAATTTGGTGAACATTCTCAAAATCCTTAATTTGTGGAATGAATAGGAGGTCTTGTAACACACGGAAGTGAATCCCGGGACGATTAATCCAATCGTGTTGGTCCATTTTTTTAAAATAATACACAATTATAATATAATTGAAAAAGTTAAAAAATCAAAACATAGTAAATAAAAAATAATAATAATAATAACTTATTAAAAATTTTAGAAAAAAATTAATAGCAAAATGTTTTTTTTGTTGTTAATTTACTTAAATTTATACGATTTTAATATTTTAAAATAACGGTTTAAGAGTGATTATCTTATTTATGTAGATTATTGTCAAAATCAAAGTTCACAATAAAAATTTATTTAGATATTATATTTTAATATGCTAACATTTAGATGTTTAATATGTCATTTAACATAATATAATATTCATCTTATTAGTTTTTTCAATAGTATTGATTATTAATATGGCGTCAAATGTGATTTTATCGATAATATGATGATTTTAACTTTAAAATTATATAAACATAGAACAAGCTTTTCAATTATTAAATATGAGGTCCAAGAACATTAAATCACTTATCGTATTATAGTATTATTTATTATTCATAATTGAGATTTTTTTCCTAATAAGATATTATATGTTAGAAATGAGTAATGTGCATGTTGTAGGTTTTTTTTAAAAAAGATAATGATAGCAGTCTTATCATTAATCATCATTTAAATTAATAATCATAAAAATATAAATAAATTTTAAAAATATATGTTTCATCTATAGTATTTTATTTAGAGTAAATGATAGTCATCCTATTATTAAATATAATTTAATTTAGTCATTACAATAAATTAGGTTATAATATAAAATCTGATATTTAATTTAAAGATTAAGTACACTTTCAACTTTAATGAACTCTTTTGTGAAATATTTTTCATAAAAAAAAATATATATTTTAAAGATTTGTATAATTTTTTCTTTGATATTATACGATCGTTATTGTTATATTTATTGTAAAAAATATTAAAAAATGATTATTATATTTTATTTTTAAAAACATAATATTAAAAATTGCATCTTATCTAATTCATACTTTGATGATTATTCAAATTCGCAATATCATTTGTCACTTTTAATAAAAAAGAATTATTTGTTTTGGTGATCATTAATGTGTGGGACTTATTCAAAGTTTGGATCAACATGTGTTTCTAGTTTTTCAAAGTTCTTGTTTGATATTAACATTGTTATGGATGAGTTATTATCAATCTCAAGTTTATTATTTAAGATTTATATTAAAGAATTCAAATGTTATAACAAGATCAAAGTTTTATGGTAAAACCTATACATATATATATATATATATAATTTCAGTTATTTTTTTTTTTATTTACTTATTAATTATTAGAATATTTTGAGCTTTTTAGATTTATAAAACAATAAAAATAAATATTAAATCCTTTACATTATAAATAGCACTGTATTCGAAGGATGACAATAGGTGAGTTCCAGATAAATTTTACCAAACCAAAACGTAACCTATTTGTATAAAAAGTAAACTTTAAGCTGCGGAACTAGGTAAAGAAAAAATTTAATTAAAAATACAGATAATAACAGAGCCAATTCAGAATAAATTTTACTAAACTTAAGTTTGACATGCTTGTATAAAAAGTAAACATTAATTCATATTGAACTTGAGATGACAACAGGACGGATTTCCAATAAATTTTATAAAACTAAAAGTGACTCGCTTGTATAAAGAACAAACCTTAACCCCTCAAATTAAGTTAAAAAATAAAAAACTCAGCTAAAAATATAGATGATAATAGAGCAGATTTAGGATAAATTTTACCAAACTTAAAATTTGACCCACTCGTATTAGGAGCAAACTTTAACTCGTATCGAACTTGGAATGAGTTTTAATTTTTTTTAAAAAATTATCGGAGTGTGTTGGATTTACGAATTATCCGATTTGAATTTAACATAATTAATTTGTTACGTTAATATAAATAAAATTATATAATATACCTATACTTATCAATAAAATATAATTTTAATTATCAATATATTATATTATATTTATAATATAGATATAAATATATTTATAATAATAAAAAAATTTAAAAAAATATATATATACATATATAACAGGTTTAAACTGTTCAATAATAAAATTAATAAAATGGGCCAGATTTTTTGAGAGAATTATCTATTCAAATAAATAAATATGGGCCGGATTTTTTGAGTTTAGTTTTGACTGCTGTACAGTAAAAGCCCATTTTACTGACATGCCCTGGCTATGCATTTTTCCGCTCTACCCCGCAATCGTTGCGGCGCAACGGCGGCCACCACTGTACGTCATTTCTCGAATAGCTTCATTATTCTCTTCTTCACAAACCCTTCCTTTTTGTAAAGTAATTTATCTCCCTCAAAACACTCACTTCTCTCAGCAACAGGCTACACCACTAGCTGCTCCTTTGGCCGCGGAGATCATTCATTTTTCTCTCTATTCTTCTCTCAAAAGCTCTTGCTCTTGTTTCGAGAATCAGCGAGTCTCGCTGAAAATCATCGGAGCATACATTCAACGACGGGCTATGCTCGAGATCATACAATTGCGTTTATAGCTTTTCAGGAGCTGCGTGAATCGCTCGATCGACGAAGCTGGAATTCATTCTCTAGCAGTATTCGGCAATTGGTACCTTTGCATTCCCAGTGCTCTCTTTCTTTATTGTTTTTGCTTTTCTTTTCCCGTTTTCTTTTAAAAGTTCAGCTCATTGCTTTATTCACATCGAAGTAGCCTTCACGGTTTCTATTCGTTCGTTTTCGAGCATTTTTCGGATTCCAACTTATTGACGCATTTTCTTTGTTTTTTCGATTGGTTCGTTTTAATTTCTATCGTTCGTTATTACGTTCCACGTTCTTAGAACTGTTTTATTGTTATTATGATTGCATTGAATATGACTTGCCTTGAATGAAAACCTGTTGGTACTCTAGTTTTGTATTTCATGAAATCTATGGATAAACTTTTATTTGATGTCAATCGAGGATTGCATTTTGTCGAATCTTTAGGTCACATATTATACACGGCTTGGTTCTTTTATAATTATTTGAACTTTGGGTTCCTGTATGCATGAAGATATAGGTTTGTGTTTTCTCCCCTAGTGGCCTATTTTGATTTATATGCTAGTATGGGCTTTAACAGGATGGGCTTATTATTTTTTTGGAACTTTTTCTTTTTTATTTGCTGAAGTAATAATGTTAGTTTGATGCTTGTTGAGAAGAATTGGTTTTACTACTTGGTTTTATGATCGACTGGAATGTATGTTGTGTCACAGAAGTTAGTGCATGATTGTTGCACAAATTCTGTTTCTGTGAGTTAGTTCATGGCAGATGGTGGATGGTATTTGAGTACTAGGGCTGATAATGTATTTGCTATTTGGGCACTATAAATAGACTTGGTTCAAGGTTAAATGGTGTGTTCTACTGGTACATGAATCTTTTAGATTCTAGCTTCATCTTTTTATATTCAGTTTAATTTTGACTAGTGCATAAAATCTAGTTTCTAGTTTCCGTAGAATTGTTTAGTTCAGGGCTTCTGTTATCAGTATAGTTAAGAATGTGTTTGTTTCAGTCAGTAGGACTATTTGTTCACTATGTTTCCTAAGAAATTACTGACGTGTCTCTTTTTGTTCACTATGTTTTTTGTTCCTCACTATCCAAACTGTGTTTTAATCTCATAAATGCAGGGAGGTCAATTGTGAGAAATGCAGTCCCTTCGTGGTGGTCTTCGTCTGCTTCAAAGGCAGAACTTTGCCAGCTCAAACATTGCCCATTTGAAGTCCACAAGGGCATCCTCAGTTACTAGCAGCACTACTACCCGAGGACTGAGCAATTTGGAATTTAATTCTTCAGCTCCTGATGGAATTGTTTCTTCAAAATCTATTGATTCTTCAACACGTTCCTTAGAGAGTTACTTGTTTCCCTCACTTACAAAGCCAGCTGTTTGTTCTCCAGTATCATTTGTATGTTTATTTACTTCCCTTGTGTATTTTCAATTCAGAAGTAAATGCCCTTTTATGATTACTTTTGTATGCAATTAGCACAGAGTGGAGCTTGTAATTGACTTATATCCAGAGGCTTCTCGGGGACAAAATCACAAAATCATATGTGATTTTCTTCTGCACTATGTTTGAGAGCTTGGAGGGTAATGTAGAATGGGGATATTTTAAGTAAAATAAATAAGCTTTATTTAAAAAAAAAAGTAAAATAAATAAGCTAGGGAATGTAATTAATCTTTATTTGGTAGTTAATTACAATAAAGGGAGTAGGGGAGGTTTCTGGCTCACCTTTTTCTGGTTGAACAGGGTAAAGTAAAGTTGCGGTTTGGTGAGAAAATAATTCCTCATTAGAAAATATATGCTGCAAATTATAACAAAAAGGGTAGAGATATTATGGAACTGTCCCAACCCTCCAGTTTTGGGTGTTGGATAATTGAGGATATAGAGGGGTGATAAGTGGTTTAGAGAACCTCAGCTTTGTCCAGTATTATCCAAGCTTGTAAACAGGGTTCGTAATAGTTTGATTTTCTCATTAGAAGAAAATAATATGATCTTATCATTTCTTTTTTATTTTGCTCAGTTTTGGATCAACTAGTTTTCTGCATTTATGTTTGATGATTTTCTACTGAATAAATTTTTGTGTGGTATTTGGCAATTATTTCAGCAGACAAAATATGGATCTGGACAAGAGAAGTTGACTTTGTCAAACAGTTACAGTAGGAGTTCAAGGTCTGCCTCTTTCCAGTTGGTACCAGGGATGCCTCTTTTCTCTAAGAGGTGCATTACAACATTGGAAGAAATTAGTCAGAAGGCTTTACGAGATTCGTCTGCAACTGGCTCTGATATAACTCCACATATCAAATTCAAGAGGCTTGATAAAACGGCCAGGCATATAATGCAGGTCAACATGCCTTTTTCGCCATTAACTGAGTAACTTTAAGATATTTCTAGACTATCTGGCAGTTATTCAATATTGTAATTTGCAGATTATAGATAAGGAAGCTGTAGAGGAAGTCAGGGCATACAGAGAGATACCTGATATAAAGCCTGGTTACATTGTGCAACTGAAAGTGGTATGGCTCACTTTTGTAAAGGGTTATTGAAACTTCATCTCAGATTCCTTATTGTTTTGTACGGGGAAATGGGGGAGTAGTGATTCAGGAGACAAAAGGATGCATGAATTCTATGCTAAGCAACTAGTTATTTTTCATTACCAAAAAGCAACTAGTTGATTCTCAATATTTTGATCCTTTATATGAGCAGGAGGTACCTGAAAACAAGAGACGGGTTTCCATTTTGAAAGGCATTGTCATAGCAAGGCGTAATGCTGGTATTAGCACTACATTTAGGATCAGAAGGCTAGTGGCTGGAGTTGGGGTTGAGTCCCTCTTCCTCTTGTAAGTAATCTTTCTTTTCTTAGAGAACCTCTGTAAGCAGTCTTTGGTCTTATCTTTAGTAATTTTGGTAATTTTGCATTTGTTAAGCAAGAAAAACAAGAGCTAGATGGTGGATTACCATGTTAGGTGTCCAATGCCCCTCCTAAGTTCTAACCTAACTCTGTTCAGTTATATTGCAACTCGACTATAGTTCTCACTTTGGATAGGCCAGATGATACACGTTCATATGGTGCTTGTTACCATGTGATCTAATCCTTGGCAGTTCAATCCTATATTTGGCCCCATAGTTGGCATTTTCTGGTATGCATGATCAAAAGAAAATGGTGCTTTGGTTAGGAATAACCAAGTATATATGATTTTCAGAATATTCCCTCACAGAGGGCTCTCTGATGGTGTCCTCTTGTACGCTAGTGAGATCTATCTTGGTTGCCATGTGACTCATTTGCTAAGCTGCATTGTGACTTACTGTTCAGAAAGATATTTATGGCCTAATGTGCAAGGCACTGAACTTGCATAACTGCATAACAAGAGTTCACTGCTGTGCTGGAGAGGTGATTTTGAGATGCCACATAATTTCTTTGGTGTTTTGCCATTTACATATTCCCAAGGATTTTCCAGTACATTCGACATCTAAGAGCTAATTACTTTTCTGGCAAAGCTGAGAAAATAGATAATATCCCTTAGTAGATCGGTCATCAAGAATTCAGGATGGAGAATGTCTTTTTTAAAAATTATCACGGTTGAGAATGAGAATTCCATCTTGCTATCTCATCTTACTCAAACACCTTAAAGAGCGCAATCTGGAGCTAAGCTATATTTTCTTGTCATACTTTTTGTATCAACTTCACAAAGGTCAGCCTGAAGGATCTATTTTCTCCAGTCATAGTTTGTATTCACCTAAATGCAATTGTGTGTTTTCTTCAAGCAATGAGCACTGATCCACCCTTTTGATTACTTACGTCTTAATTCACCAAGACCTTCAATTTGAATGCGAGTCTGGTGTACTCGTCTTTATTGGCAACCAAGTAATATAAATATGTTCTTGTTATTAGCACCACTTTAAATTCTCATAAATTTTGCTGAGCTTAATTTTATATTTGTATCTTTTGTCAATTTGTATAACATCTATTTTGTTATTTTACTTTTATTAGTTGTTTCACTACCTGATAATTCTGATTTTGTGGATGTACATATTATGAAATTCCAGTTTAATCTCAATAATTATTCATCAGGTCTACAGGATTCAAAAACAGTTGAACCTATCTATCTCTCACTCTGTGCACCTAGTCCTTTTGTCTTAATAAATTGCTCTCTTCTTGGTCTGATGTCAATTTAGGCTCAAAGTCCTGGCCATCGAAAGATGTTCAAGAAGATGGGATTAATTGTTAATTTTATCCAACTATATCCGTTAGCTACAACTTATTCATTAGTCTTTTTTTTCATTAAAATTAGGTCCTCAATTATCAGGAAAGTTTCAAATTAGCTATTTTTAGTAATTTTTGGGACTTAATTGTAACAAAAAATGAGTAAAATTTTTCTAATGTTGAACGTGTGTTAATTTTGGAACCGAACTGTAAGATAAAAACATTTTAGAAACAATTTGTAACAGCCTTAAATTATGAGAATATAAATCATAATCAGTCCACAAAATTAGTGTATGCAAAAATTTAGAAGGGTGGCTCAATTGGTCATAGAATTTTCTCTTGGTTACTTAATTTTGAACCGTAGGCCCAATATACTGAAGAATTGATTCTCTTAAATCTCTTAGTCTCATGGTGAATAAACCAAGGAGATGGACTTTCTAGGGTCTGCAGAAATTTACCTGTAAACCACCTTACCATATAATGAAAGGAAGCTTGGCCATTAAAATTTCATTAACTTGTTCTTGTTCTCTGTTGAATACTATCTCTTTTCTTAAATATTTACACTAATCAGTACTAAGTTATATTGTCAGTTTGCCAAGGAGCTTTAATCATATGTTAACTCCTAAATTGAAGATTTTATTATAGTTACTAAATTGTTTGCCAAGGGGCTATAAGCATATCCAGAAGTGATTGTTCTAGGCACATTTGCTGCTAAAGACCAGAAATTTCTTTTCATTGTTTTTTCATATGCCATTTCAACATTGAACATTATCTCATTGTCTGTTTTATGGTAATGTTACCGTCTGATCCAAATGACGGAATAAATGAGTCTTTGATGACAGGTATTCCCCAAACATAAAGGAGATAAAGGTGCTGGACAAGAAGAAAGTGCGGAGGGCAAAGCTCTACTATCTAAGGGACAAGATGAATGCACTCAAAAGACAGTAGATTGGCTTGATAATAGTGGATCACTTAATTTAGATATTTTTCTTCTTAGACAAATGATGTTTTTTGTTTTCTCAAAATTTATCAGGTTTAATGCATGCATATTTGAATATGCTGGGATGGTGTTTGAACTTGAAACGGTGGAGATGGGAGGCTGAGTTCCTTTGTGTTATGCCGGAATTGGTCAGTGTTCAATAAAATCTTCACTGATTCAACCCTTTTTCTTTTGCCATGAAGCGCATATTAGCAAGGATAAATTGCTTAGGAGGGCTCTCTTCTCATTGGTTTCATGTAGGTGCAATCATATTCATAACACCAGTAGATATGCCATTTTTAAGCATATGGTTTTTTCCCCCAACTATGCCCCACCTCTTCTTTCCTGTTCTTTTTTTTTTTCCTTGAATGAAGAGAAAAAAACACAAGAATCAGCTCATAGTAAGCCCACACCCAGAAGGCTGTCATCGAGAATATTCAAGGACAGGGGCAAACCTGTGCTCTGTGGAGCCCGAGGTCATCAAGGCTGGTACAGAATGCGATTGGTGAAACCCTGAGCTGGCTGGTCAGGTAATAAATGTTACATATGTTGACGCCGAAAGCTTTAGCATGATTCTTCCAAACCAAGTGCCAGTTGTGAAGATGATACTCCACTCTAAACGAATCAACCTTTGGAGGCTCATGCACACAAATCATGAAGAGAAGATTGCTTATGCACAATTGAGACAATTAGGAAAACCTGTGAGGCATCTCATGTGGCCCTCTTCGTCATCAAATTTATTCTCTATAGGCAAACTTGAGAAAATGTTTGATATGCAGTGGCCTTGACCTGCCATATCATAATTCGAAGTTTTACTGCAGTTGGGAAGATCATGGTGAGCAATGAGGCCGTAGATATAGCTAATAGAGAAAACTCGGTTAACATAATGGGTCACCGGATGCTTGGTAGAAATTTTTGAGGAGTCGCCTTAATAGTTGCTGTCTCATGACAAACTGTGGAAGACACAAAGGCACGAACCTCATCCAAGTATCGTGCACCTGGAAAATTAATAATGTGTTAACTAGAAATAAAAAAACCAACTAAAATTAAACAAATTTTGAACTTTCTAAAATAAATGTCTTCATCTTAAGATATATTATACATATATAGCTGTTTAATTAAAGAAGTAAAAACAAAGATTAGGACCCCTAGAAGCTACCCAATCTATAATGATGAAAGTTAAAGTCAAATGTTTAATAAAAATTAGTGAGAGCAATAAATAAGCACGTGGATGGGCAAGTTTGATTAGGAACGAGTTAGACAAAGCTGTAGTTAAACTATTCCTTCAGCAACGTACTCTGCATGGGGATGATAATTGCCACATCGTCTTCACGCGGAGAGAGCCAAGGGCATTCTCTCTTAATTCGTATGGTTGGTTTCCCCATTTAATGAGATCACGTTAGGTGTTTATCAATCTCTATTTGTATATGTATAGCTATCTACTTACTAGCTTTTATTCTGACAGGTTCATTTTCCCTCCGAAAAGGAAGAAAAGACTCATTCATGAATGTCAAAAGATGAGCTTATCAAAACCAACAGTCAACAGAAAAAAAAAAAAAAATGAACAAAACCCCATCAAGGCGAGACCAGTAGAGACTTCATTGGCGATTTGCTTTTGACGAGGGCGGTTGGGGAAATAAATAACCTGTCCAATTACAGATGAGCATCATTTATTCATGGAAGCGTGGCAGTTGGGGTATCGTTGAATATTTGAACCTCATTCTATACTTCCCTCTCTGTTGTCCTTTGCAAATTGCAGCGCTGGAAAATGGCGAATAGTTATGTATATTTATATATATCTATACGTTCCATCATTATATATATATATATATATATTATCATACTACCCATTTCACGTCTAAGCGAACTTCACTAGCTCTCTTGTCTGCTTACAATTTTGAAGCTTAGCGATGAGTGTTCTTCTTGCTCGTGTTTTGTCAACTTGTCTGTGTGTAGTCCTTCTCGTCCATGGTTTAGTAGATGCTGATGAGAATGCTGGCGGGGTCAAGGATGATAAGCGCGTGTTTCCTCGTCCAATTTTCTTGAAGGGAGGAGGTCTTGGCCATGGGATTTATAACAAAGGTTTTGGACATGGAATTGGACACGGGCTAGGTGGTGGGGGTGGATTAGGCGGTGGTGCAGGTGGTGGGCTAGGCGGTGGTGCAGGTGGTGGGCTAGGCGGTGGTGCAGGTGGTGGGCTAGGCGGTGGTGCAGGCGGGGGCTTAGGGGGTGGAGCTGGTGGTGGAGGAGGACTTGGAGCTGGTGGTGGTGGAGGACTTGGAGGTGGTGCCGGGGGTGGTGCAGGGGGAGGTTTTGGTGCAGGTGGAGGTGGTGGTCTTGGCGGTGGAGCTGGTGGTGGAGGTGGTTTTGGTGGTGGTGGTGGTTTTGGCGGTGGTGGGGGTGCTGGGTTTGGTGGTGGTGCCGGATTTGGAGCTGGCGGTGGTGGCCACTAAATGCTAATAATGTTTTTAAGTAACTCCTACTAAAAAAAAAAATTGTGTTTTATCATTAATTCTTTGAAGCCGTTAAGAGTGGTGTCTGCGAAGATGCATGAGAAAAGTGTAAACCAGTAATTAATCTGTTTTTATTCTCTTCTTGTTTCTTCTTTTGATTGAAAACCGGTTAGGATGACTTGATGACACCTCTCACTCTCTCTCTAAATATATATATATATATGTATATATGTATATACATACATAAAGTTATTCTCAAATATATAGGTATAGAGTTAAGCTTATTAGCATTAGGGTGGTAATAGGATATATAAAATATTGGGTTTTTTTGCACTTCCCAACATGTTTATCCAAAACTGTAAATACAAATGATTTAAGTTTTTAAATTGGTGTTGCTTGAAATCAAATTAATGTTTACAAATTTTAATATAAGAATATAATATTTAAAATTTATGCTAATTTTTTTTTTTTAATTGTGACAAGTATAATAAATTAACATTTATTTAATATTTTATTTATAAAAATAATATTTTAACTAATTAATTAAATTAATAACAATAAAAAATATGTCTAATTATATTGTTAACTTAATTGATTAGTAAAAATTATTTTTTGAATTTTTTTTAAAAAACTATCTCAACATGGTATTATTATCTTAAATTTTTTTCTATTACATAATAGAAATATTTAAAACAAATTAAAAAAGTAATAAGAAGTAAATTGTAATAAAAATCCTAAATTATAACAAGTGAGAACTAATTTAATAATTTGTTTAAAATAAAAATTTCACAAAAAGTTGTGGAATATATTTCTAAGTCTTTATGAAAATTCATTTATACATGAAGTTAAAAGGTATAAATAATTAAAAAATTTTAAAAATGAGTAGAAACTACATTCCAAAATAACTATAAACATACACAACGATTTAAATACAAGCAAAAACACAAAAGAGTAGACTCTTATAAATTAAAATTTAGAATTAAATAACAAAATTGATTCAATGGAATATCCTAAAACTTTCACAATTTATAATACATACATATATATATATATATTTAAGGCAATTATTAATTAATTAATTAATTAATTAGGTGGGGTTGATGATACATATTGGGGGCCATGTGCTTTTGACAAGACAAGTGCAAAAAACACCACAAAAACGTTTGTAGTCATGGAATTATTCCCCAAAAGCTTTAAAGCAAAGCTTCTCACTCACTCTTCCCAATCCCTTTTTCCTTACTCCCTTCAATCAAAACCCTAAATTCCACTCATTAATTTCATTTCAATTCAATTTTTTTTAAATATATATATATATATATGTATATATAAGGAAGTGTTTTCAATGAAATCCCAATTAACAATTCACATGCAATCTGTCCGTATAGCCCAAATTGGAACTCAGAATATCTCATCTCACATAAACAACCATATGAATAAGCCAAAAATTTTTCTCTTCAAAATTCTAAAAATAAGAAATTAAAATGAAAAAAAAAAAATCAACCATATATTTTTTGTGTACCTACTTAATATTAATATTACAACCCCACATCATATCTATTCTTTCACTAATAATGCTCAATATGGATACTCACATATTAGATTTCATACATATATATACACATAATTACATAATTGTAATCCTTATTAATTAACTTCACTTGTAGAATACTATAATTGAGAAAATAACTAAGATTGAGAAAAATATTTACGTACGATTTCATTTACTTAATTACTTGTTGGATTCTGGATTTGGGCCGCTAGGAACTTCGTGGGTAGCTGATTTGAACTCATGTCCATCTCGAGACATATCGGTACTTGTTGTTGTTGTTGTTTTCATCGTAGAGTTGATAGTAGTAACCACAATTGTCGTTGATGATGATGAAGACGAAAGCGATGTAGATGAAGAGGATGTACGGTTTGCGGGCATGAGAGTTTTGTGTGTTGAAGAAGAAGAAGAAGGAGGAGGAGGAGGAGGAGATAGGCTAGGATGAGAAGAAGATAGAAGAGGAATGATATTTGAAATAATCAAGAGAAGAATAAGAAAAATAAGTTGGGATGATTTGGGTGCCATGAACAAATAATAATATAAATATTATAAGTATAAAAACCCAAAACCCACCCCCAATAATCCACAAGGGATCAATATCCATCAAACGCTGCCTCCTCCAAGGTTTTGGTTAATTCCAAAAAACAAACATGGAAATCTTGCTTATTTGTATGTATATATATGTGTATATGTTCGCACACACACACACACATATATATAACACAATAAGAAAAGTTGGCCCAAGTTTTCAAATCCACACTTCTTTTTATGCATTCTAGCCGTATGAATATATATATATATATATATATATTGGGATGGGGGAGAGGTTATAACCTGCCTGCAAATATCAGTATTACCCTTTTTCATTTACAGCTAATTTTCTATTCAGAAACAATTTTAAAATGCTTATGTATTCAAAAGTCAAGATTCATTTTAATTAGTGTTAAAAAGTGAAATTTTACATTAACCAAATAGAAGAGTCTACAATAATTTATTCACATATTTGGAATACCATATAGTTTTAGATTGTTATAACATCATGTTATAATTTAATATGATTTTAAATCATAA